CCCCAAAACCCCAAAACCCCAAAACCCCTTGATTTAAAATTTACGATTTGGAAGTAAAATAAAAATAAAATAGATAAAATGTCATCTGAAAAAGATAGAATATTTGTGGATGTAGAGGAAAGACCACCAATAGCTCTGCCAGTTGACATGATGTCAGATAAATCTTAGTATCAAAGCTAAAACAAGATAAATAAGATAGGGTAGAAGAGTTTTAGATAAACTTAACCAAATACTACTGAGTATTCAAACAGATCAGTGAGTTATTCATAATGGAATAATCGCCATCATGTGATTCCTTCACTCTTCAATAAATAGAATCACACCTATTACAGAGTAAAATTTCAAAGCGATTTATCTAATTACTTTTTAGCAATACTTTGACAAACCATATAAAGCAAAGCAAATCAAGTAACTTGTGCCTGAAAAAACGGTAGACCCCTATGATATGAACACGATAAGTGGAACTAGAATGCCTGAGTATTCGCAAGTAATCAAATAGAGAGATACTTATGGCGAACTAGGATGGATACCCAATTTTCAAGTGACTTTCTCAAAGAATAATCCAAGACTACATAAAAATTACTAGGAATACTTTGATAGACCTCAAGAATATCATACAATTTATTAAGATGCGAATGTGACTTAATCTGAATTTTTCAGATCATAGGCTCCTTCGAACTCTGTGGCTAGGACTAGGAGAGCACAATCTAGTTATAGATCAACAAGATAGTCCATGAATTTTGGAAATAATTAGAATTTTGATGATTCATAGAGATTTGATCAAGTTTCTTAATCACTTATTGCTCCCAAGGCTACTCCTTTCTATCTGATTCATGACAAATCTAATAAACATAGAATAGATAAAAGAGTTAAGGAAACTCAGAGCTTAAAAAATTGCATTCCCTTCTTAAGAGTAAATGATGATGACTATAAGAAAGTTATCAATCAACCATAGCAAAAGAGTTTTAGAAGGAAATAAACAACCTATATATCCCAATATTATGAGAATAAACCTCAAAATGCATAATAAAGGACTAGATTTCAGTCAGGGGAAAAGAGATATGACTAGAACTATTATCGTAAAGCTAAAAGAAGGGAAAAGGGATGGGAACAATATATTCTACCAATATCAAAATTGAATACTGAACTCCATCTAAGTCAAAAGATAAGCTTTGACAAAATATGATTTACTGAATAATCATAATTCATGAGAAATTTACACCTAATAACTTATTTGGTTATTCAAGGGCTTATCTAAGTTTTTAAGCAATCGACTTAATTTCTTTAATCTATAATTCTTAATCTTTTTTAAAAATATCGATAAGCGGGGTTTTGGGGTTTTGGGGTTTTGGGG